AGTAAGGCCTCCCTAAAAATAATAAATGTATTTTTATGCAGGGAAAAGAAAAAAAAAAGATGGAGTAGTTCAGTTCTGGTAGAACCATAAAGTTAGAAAAGAAACTCCTCAGTAAGGAAAATACAGCATCATTTTAGGAGAAAGATATGCCATATTACTTTGAAATCAAAAAGTTGCAATGCATGAAATGAAGATTGATGATATCTTGGTTTTTTTGAAACTAATAATGGGTAAATTGTTAAGATACTTGTTTGAATTTGAAACAGCATTTCTGACGAATTTTGATGATTCTAGGATGGTAAATATAAAATTAAGCTAAAGAAATCTAACTTGTCATGTGAGTATCACCAACAGCATAAGTGAAACCAGAAGATAATGTTGTGTTGCTTCTTCCAACTTTTTGTATTGTCATCAATATAGGATACTCTGTTCAACAGGAAAAATCCAGTCCAGAATCACTGTCTGGTTCAAAGCAAGGATTTGATTAAGTTTCCCATTAGAGGTATTCCCATCAGAATACCTGAAGGAATTATTCCTATCTTTTCAAGTAGAGAATAGAGGGGCATGATAGTCTCTATTCTAGAAAGAGCCTCAGAGCTAGGACATCAATCATCAATTTAGCAATGCTCATTATTTTGCACCAAATGAACAGTCTTTCACAAGAGGCTTCCCTACAGGACACCAAGGAATATGCTATGAATCTCTATAGACGAAACAGGTGGTTTAAAGAAATACACTATGTATTGTATTGTGTTGCAAAAGAAAGCACATAATGCTAAAGAAAGTAATTTTGGCTCAGAATCAGCTTCCAGAGATATCACGTATCATCCCCCTTACTAAAAAAAAACCCAATAAAAAATCAAAGCAAGCACAAGATAAAAACCAGAAGCAAATAAACCAGACTAATTCCTATCCAGGAATGATCACATTTTGCAAAAACAGTATAGCCCTCTGCTCCACCTCCAAAAATACACAACCACAAGGGAAATAAGATGGCGGTAAAACATAAACCAGGTCTTTTCAGCACCACGGAGAAACACATTCTCTTGGGAATAATAAGTATTGAAGATATTGATATTGGTATTTTGAGGTGCTAGGCAGTAGCATAAAACTCTGAAATAGAATACAGCAGTTAACAGAAGTAATAGAGACAAGATGTGACATGACTTACTATTTGACTTTTGTCTTTCCACTGCCCTCCAATAACATTGAACCCATTACAGAAATGTAAAAAGGTACCAAAGAAAACAAGAAATTTAAAAATAAAAAACAATTTTCTATTTTCTGTTCAGTTGTTTTCAGGAACCAGAACTTTATTTTTCAAGTAATTCTCAAATAAAATAAGAAGAGCCACTGAAATTGAAAATAATTACAAAATGTCTCATTGCAAACACAACCATAATTTTCCCAAAACAGAAGAGGTATTTCCCAAAAATAGAGGTATGCCTCCTTAGCTTTATACAATGCTTCTCAGTAGACAATCTGGGAGTTTAGGACTATTTTCTTAATTTGGCTTTCTCATTTTTGCAAATTCCACCACAGAATTATATGTCCATGCCAGTTTTTTCAGAGTGACTTCAAGAAAATTGTACTTTTAAGGCCCCAAGATCTTGCTTATTACTAGTTACAATCCTACAATTGTTTGAGTACTATTAAAGGAAATGGTACTATTAAAGGACTGCCCAACCTTGGCTGCAGAAGTCAAGACTTAGTAGTAGAACCTGAGCTTTAGAAAGTTAGAAAGTAATGAAAAAAAGGAACATAAACACAAAAAAACAAGAAGTATTAAATTCAGGAGTA